AGACTGGCAAAGGGAATGCTTGTCGGATCAGCGCCTTCGACGAGGCTCAAATTGCGTAATTTGTCTACCCACGGGAAGTGGTAAAACTTTGATAGCTGAAGTTGGTTCATGACGAGCGGATTCCATTATTCATTGTGGGTGATGTCCGTTCTTTAGGTCCTAATGCTGCGAGAGGCAATTGTAAATAAGAAGAGCTCGATTCTTGTACTGCCTTATGTAGCTATAGTTCAAGAAAAGGTAGTGCAAAATCATCGTTTTTCTTCTTTTCCTATAAAATTTTTGTAGATTGCATCTTTGTCTGTTTTCGAGGAAGCCTTTGGCATCAGGATAGAAGAATATGCGGCTAACAAAGGTATGAAAGGTTAGCTAAATGCAGAAATTGATTGAATGGTTTCAGGTAGAATTCCACCCATAAAACGCAGAAGAGACGTTTCTATATATGTAGCGACAATAGAAAAGGTAGTAAGAAAATGATTGATTTATCTACTTTATGCTATTCCTCATTTTCAGGCGAATAGTCTACTAAATTCGCTGATCGAGTCTTCTGAAATTGACCGCATTGGCCTAGTGGTAGTAGATGAAGTGAGTGGCTAAATAGTAGCGAATTGCACTAATACTGTATCTTCTAGCTTCACATGATTGGGGATGGAAGTCGTGGCACAATCATTGAACAATTGTTGTGCAAGTACTTGACAAAGGGTGAGCTTCCTTTGATAAATTACACATGCATGGGGTGATGAAGTCGGATACATCAGAAAAATGGTCTTCATCCAAAAATACTATATGCTCAACTTGGGAGTAACTTGGATTAAAGGTGGTCTCTAGACAAATTTTGGTCCATTTCCTATTAGAATGCAGCGCTCTTTTAACATTGTAGTTACACATAGTTGAGAATATTGGAGTATCAATGGTTTCGAGTGATTGATTGTACTCTATCGCATCTTCTACCCAAAAAATGTGGTTGCGAGAGTTTCGATGCGGTACAAAACGGGATGTAACTAAGCAGTTGCAGCAGGGGCAGATTCGCTGGTCAAGTGAAGTGGTGGTCTGGAGATAGCCCGAAACTAGATTTCAGGCAGAGCGGTCCCAAGATTTCCGTCAAGGGGGAGGGGTTACGAAATTTTTTATACGAATGAAGGTGCGTGGCTAATTCGGAAAATGTCTTTGAAGATGCTTTCCAAAATTTTTGCGGGCCATAACCCCTAAAATCTAGGAAAAGGACTTAGCCCTAGCTTC